TTTTTTTTACCTTTTCTTCATTTAAAAAAATTTTCCCCTGGTTTTGAGAACTAATTGCTTTATATAATTCAACAATTCCTTGATTTATTCAAATGATTAGTAAGAGAGGTTATTTGTGACAATATACAAAAAAAAATTTGTGGTTTTTTTTTTGTAGAGAAACAACGGATTTTAGTGCTCATTCTATCATAAATTATTCCACTAATCGTTCAATAATAATGCTAGTTAAATCGTGGTTTCCCCCAATTTTAACAATTTAATTGCGCCGAATAAATTAATCTGCACCAATGAAACCCAGGGATGGGGTTAGATCATCCGTTTGCTACATCATAAATCTGGTTTTCCTCATTTGTTTGCAGCTCAGCCTCTTCGCTAAGTTTTCTTGTCATGAATGCGATCAACCCAATTAAGGTATTCTTATATTACGCAACTATTAATATGGTGTAGAGCAATAGATATTTGAAAACCGAGCAATCATAAGATATGCGATACTTAAGCAACGGAAAATTTCCGAAACATGGAAAAAACAGGAAAACTTGTTTTTAATCTTGAAATTGAGAATTAAGGCATGATTTGCGAGTGTATCATGATTAGTAATCATATACTTTGCCATGAGTAGCTTTTGCGCATCATCACTTCTTACCACTAAAGATAAAGAATGGGATGACATAATATCTTAAACACAATAGAAATGATCAGTTGATATGCTTAGGATACTACTCGTTTTGTGTATCACTGCAACATCTGTCTTGTCAGCACCAAAGCCAAGGTTGTCAACCTCCACAGAGTCGTCGCAGCCAACAGCTGGAAAAGAATTGCAAGAGGTAAGCCTATTCAATTCGTAAGGTTCTTTTTGAATTTATATTCTTTAGTTCGCAAAACTTCAAGGAGATGATGCTGAGCTTGTAGCAAAGTTCAAAGGCATAGTAGCTAAAGACATGCGAGGACGAAGGAAAAGTTGGTGCATGCAAAATGATAACCATCTCCGTGCGACTAAGAATTATACAAATTTACAGATGTTTTTTCGAGTTTCGGAGGAGGTTACGGTTCATATAATGGACGAGGAGGCCCATTCCATGGATCTAATGGCGGATACGGTAAATGACTTGTAATGAATTTCTAGAACTGCGAAGAATTGCCTTGTTTGCAGGAATGGGAGGAGGTTACGGCGGTGGTGGAGATGACTTTGGTGGTGGTGGCGGATACGGCCCACCATATGGTGGAGGTTACGGCGGTTACGTTGGTGGTGGAGGAAGTCCGGATTATGGTGGCTATGGAGGGTATGGTGGTGGCGGCTATGGTGGGATGGGAGGAGGCCCTGGAGGATATGGTATGGGTACGCTGCGTCCAAGTACAAGGTCCTGTAATTTGACTAATATTTCAAGGAATGGGTGGCTTCGGCGGAGGAGACTATGGTGGCGGATACGGTAACGGAGGAATGATGGGTGGTGGTTATGGAGGTGATGGTTATGGTGGTAGTGGTTTTGGAATGGGAGGTAAGAGTGTTCTAACTTTTGAGTTTAACAATGCATGCATAGACGTTTAGGTCCGATGGGCGGCTTTGGTGGTGGACATGGAGGCGGAGGCGGCTTTGGAGGTGGTTACGGAGGAGGAGGATTTGGGCCCATGGGAGGAGGTGGATATGGAAGCATGATGGGAGGTACGAATTGTGGTAAAACGAATGTGTTATGAGAACGTTAACGCTGAAGTAATCCGTATCACCATAACACCTATGTTGGAGTAGCTGTAATCGCAAATTCAATTCAAGCAGTTTACTTCAGCGCTCCAAAAATTTTTATCTTCCAAGCTTTTTTCTCAAAATCGAATATATATTTAGGCAGATTTGTTAAGAACAAATAAGCCTTTGTTTCATTGAAATCGGCGCTTTAGAATGCAAGCTATCAAAATTGCAGAACACTTCAACTAAACACTAACACTTTGCTAAGGAACGTGAGCATAAGGACCGTGCTTACGGAAGCTATAGTGTTCAAGACATTAGTAATATTTCTGTCAGCCTTTTCTTATCTGTAAAGAAGGCATCAGTTCTAAGCCCTTGCTTTTAGTTATATTCATTAAGGAGGAGACTATGGTGGTGGATATGGAAGTCCCTATGGCGGAGGTGGCTACGGCGGCGATATGATGGGAGGAGGTGGATGCCCAGGTGGTGGTTGTCGCGGTTAGCACCCCAAAATTGTACCAAAATCATTCATAATCATTTATCATTTTATGTATAATCAATTATCAATTAATAATTATTAATAAACCAAACTGATGCTGTTAATGAGTCGACTTTTCATTTACCAATTAGAACTTATCGTGATTCCTACTATAAGTCAGATAAATGTGCGTCATACAACTGTAAGGCCACATTCAATGCAACAACATTTATTCGTTAAATTTGTTCCCTCTCGTTAGCTTTTCGTTTTAGTATTGTTAGAACGAGAAAGTGTAAAAGCAATAATAATTATTGATTACTATATAAAGTATACAGTTTTTCTGATTACAGAAAGAAGGAAACGTTATTTGTAGCTGCTGCCACCTTAGTTCTAATAGTGATAATCTTTCCTTTCTAGTTGTCTTGCTGCAAATACCTGTATAGTTGTCCTGCTTTAGAAATGAAGTTGAATAATGGATTGCTCATTTGAACCTGAAAAATACTGCGTTCCCTGAAATGATAATGACTGGATAAAAAAGGATCACGATACCGGCGCTACCATAAATCGTATAGATTCGCCGCTGGACTCATCTGGAAATTGTAGATCATCGTCCATGAACTGAGCTTGGTTGAGAGGGTGAAATGAGTTCTAAAATACGTTTTTTTTTCTGGAAAAACAACGGATAGGAGACTTTTCTACCTCGGGATCTTCACGTGTTAACCGCTCATGATATCGATTAAGAGTGTTGAAAGAACAAACGTAGAGAATTTGCGAAAATAAGAAAGCAGTGACAAGATGCAATGCCATGTCGTGCGTGTACCCTGTAATTGATAGTAATTAATACAAGCGAATGAGAAGTTGCATCAACGGTAACATAATGATGAACTTTCGATAGATATTTGTATTGTTGAAAACTCGAAGTGACGCCATGACCAAGATTTCATGATTCTGGAAAAGCTTATCCCGTCTTTTATCTTCGTCAGAGCCGCTAGGTGAAGAGATGAAATAAGTCATGAGCTCAGATAAAGTTATTGACTTCCTTCTTCCCCCTCCCCCCTCTCCCGCCCCCACCACGATTAGACGTTTGGAAGACCAGATATTATATTATTATATAGGAAGTTTCACCTTTTGCTTAGGACGTCTTAAAACTTCGAAAGCATTGTTAACATTGGCTCTACACAGCGCTCAAGCATAAAGGAATTGGCTTGTTGGGGTGGCTGAAAGAGGCGTTGCGCCGCTTGAGCACGTATGGAATGTTGGAACATTCGCCTACGTGCTACTTGACTATCAACAAATCGAAAGTGCGCTTTACCATGCTTTTATTGTCTTGTAAGCAACGAATGATAGGCAAACTGGCTCGTCTATTTATCTCGAAGTACACTAAATCATGTTGTGTGGTTGAATCAATGATTGTTCTTCTCATTTTATGTACGGATACTGTTTAACTCGACATGTTGAAGAAACTATAAAAATGTGTCAATTGGTATGGTTTTCTTGGTGTACCGTACATGCAATAAGTAACAAAGTCCGAGGGGCTTGATAAAGATATGTCGCTGCTGATGTTCTAAGCACTAATTGATTGTTTGCAGTTTTGACTCATTCGATGCAAGATAGCATGCATATGTAATGGAGATATATGGAAGTTAAGAAAAAAAAA